GTGTGTGAAGCAGTGACTTGGGAACGCCTGCATCCCATATTGCAGTGCTGATTCGAGTCCCGGATATTCCACCTCCAGTTGTTTCCTGCTGATGCATTCTGGGAGGCAGCAGACAATGGTTCAAGTGCTTGGGACCTTCCCGCCCACGTCAGGGATGCAGACAAAGTTTCTGGTTCCTGGTTTCAGTCTGACCCTGTCCTGGCTGTTGCAGTCACTGGAGTAGTGAATCAGGAGATGGAAGATCTTGATATGTGCACCATGCGCTCGCACACTCGCTTGCTCACTCTCTCTCTCTCTGTCCCCTTCTGTCTGTTTTTTAAGTAGATGAAAATAAATGATAATAAAAAAGCCCACTACTCTATCTATATTCCTGGTCTAGGGGTCATCTGCAATATCTCTGATATCAGCAAAAAAGAGGCGCTCCATGCTGTCAGTTTAAGTCCTGGACTTGGGTAAGTTATCAGGAGGAAGCAAATGAAAAGCTGTTAAGGGGCCGGCTCTGTGGCGTAGCGGGTAGGGCCGCTGCCTGCAGTGCCAGCATCCCATATGGGCTGGTTCGAGTCCTGGGTGCTCTACTTCTGATCCAGCTCTCTGCTCTGGCCTGGGAAAGCAGTAGAAGACGGCCCAAGTCCTTGGGCCCCTGCACCCACGTGGGAGACCTGGAGGAGGCTCCTGGCTCCAGATCAGCACAGCTCCAGCTGTTGCGGCCAATTGGGGAGTGAACCAGCGGATGGAAGACCTCTTTCTCTCTTTCTCCCTCTCTGCTTCTCCTTCTGTGTGTAACTCTGCATTTCAAATAAATAAATCTTTTAAAAAGTGAGAGAGAGAGAAGCTGTTAAGTAAGAGAGGGAAGGAGACACACACACCTCAGAGGAGTAGGGAGGGAGGTGGGGAGAGAGGGAGAGAGTGGGAGAGAGAGAGAGAGTGGGAGAGAGAGGAAGAAAGAGAGAGAGAGGGAGAGAGAGAGAGAGAGAGAAAATGAGTCACTCAAGATAAGTTTACAACCCAAGAATCCAAAACAGAAAGAAAACTGAAGTCACTCTTGACAAGATGAGAATAATAAATCTAAAAAGTATTTAAAAGTAGGAACTTTTTAGTTTTGGGGGCCAGCATTGTGGTACAGTGGGTTAAGCTGCTGCCTGCAATACTAGCATCCATATTGCAATGCAGGTTCAAGCTCTGGCTGCTCCACTTCCAATTCAGCTCCCTGCTAATGTGCCTGGGAAAGCAGCAGCAGATGGCCCAAGTCCTTGGGCCCCTGCACCCATGTGGGAGACTGGGAGGAAGCACCTGGCTCCTGGCTTTGGATCTGGGCAGTTCCGGCCATTGAGGCCATTTGGAGAGTGGACCACAGAGAGGGGACCTATCTCTCTGTCTCTCCCTCTCACTGTCTGTAACTCTACTTCTCAAATAAAATAAATAAAATCTTTAAAAAAAAAAAAAAGACAAAGACCTAACTTGAGAAACACTGATCCTGAAGCAGTGAATGAGTAGCTTTGGTTTTGGGAGGAAGGGGCACAAGTGCTGTCCACCCTGGTATCCACTTCCCCACCTCCCATTTAAACTGACAAGGCGGACAACAGACTGAAGTGCAGCCATTAGCAAACCTGGACAGAGCAACCATCACCTCTGGGGTAACCAGTCATTTGAGGAACCTAACTACTCAAAAAGAAAATAAAAACCTCCACGGATTTGATTATAGAATAGATATTAGAAAAGATGGACAGGGAATTTAAAATAAGCTTAATAAACACACTAAAATAAATAAGGACGGACATAAGCAATATGATATAAAAACAGAAATACTAAAGATGGAACAGGGATGGTGTTTGGCCTGCTGGTGAGACTGCCGCTGGGACCTCGCAACTGGGTTTGAGTCACGGCTGCACCCTGGATTGCACCTTCCCGCTAAAGCAAGCCCCCAGGAGGCAGTGCTGATGGTGCAATCGTGAGGGAGCCCGGACTAGAAGCAGCCAGACTACGTCCATCCCTTAGCTACTCGCCAGCACGTGCACACAGCGCAGAACAGGACGAAGCTTCGGTTGTAGCAGTATTTGCCAGTGGACAACGAGATTCAGGTTTTGCCAAAAACAAGTTACAAGAAATTCTGTTAAAAACTGCCCCTGTTCTCCCAGTAGCTAACGCATACCCACTGCATCTGCTCTTTGGAAATGACGTGTTGAAGACATACAAATGCCCTCAGACCGTGAGACCTCAGCGCTCCCTGTGCTGGGAGCCGCCCTGTTTCGCACACAAACGAAGCTTCACTGCCTCTCCTCCCACCACTGCATCTCGTCTTATAAACTTTTCTCGACTCCAGGACACCAACCCGGTTTTCCTGCAGCATTTGGGGCCTGGCACCCGGTTCCACCCTGGCCCAGCCCCAGGAATTGTGGGCACCTGGGGAGTAAATCTTCAAATGGGAGCTCTCTGCCTCTGAAATAAATAAATAATCTAAAAAAAAAAAACCAGGCTAGTCGATACAGTGAACACAGACAGATGGAATGGATAGAGCTGAGAGCAAATTATTAAATGGGAAGATCAGGTTGAGAAACCCTTACCAAAGAAAAACAAATTAAAGAATAGAAATTATAAAGAAAAAAAGAGATACGAAGACAGAATGAGCATCACTAACATCCAGGTAAGAGTCCATAAAGAGAGAAAAATGAGAATAAGCAATAGAAAATATTGAAGACAATCAGAGACAACTTCTTTAGAACTGAACAGGGATAAAAGCCTTCCTGCTGTAATTTCCCATGGGCGACAGGGGAGAGAAAGGAAATCTACACAGGCACACGTCGCAGCGACGCTCCAGTCTTCACAACAAATGATGCTGGAATCACTGACCACGGGTAGGCAAAAAAAAAAAAAAAAAAAAAAAAAAAAAGCCTTAAGAACTTCTATACCTCACACCTTATACAAAAATAACTCATAATACAATACAGACCTAAATGTCAAATACCACTTTTAGGGGGAACTTTTGCCCCGTGAAAGATATTATTAAAAAGAAAAGACAACAGGGGCCGGCACTGTGACACAGCAGGTTGAGCCACTACTTGCGACACCCGCATTCCTTATGGATGCTGGTTCGAGCCCAGCTGCTCCACTTCTGATCCAGCTCCCTGCTAACGGACCTGGGAAAGCAGAGGAGGATGTCCCATGTACGTGGGCCCCTGCCACCCACATAGGAGAATGGGATGAAGCTCCAGGATCTTGGCTCCTGTCTTTGGTCTCTTCTATCCCTGGTCATTGCAGTCATCTGGGGAGTGAACTAACAGATGGAAGACCTCTCTCTCTCTCTCTCTCTCTCTCTCAATCTGTAACTCTGCTTTCAAATAATAAAGTAAGTCTTTAAAAAAAAAACCACAGGTTGGAAGAAAATACATGCAGATCACATATCTGATAAAGGACTTGCATCCAGAATATATGAAAAACTCTCAAAACTCAAACGTAAAGAACAAACAATTCAATCAGAAAATGACCAAAGATATGAACATACATTTCACCAAGGAGAGGTTTATGGGACAAATAAGCCCATAAGCTCAACAGCATTAGCCATTTGGGAAATGCAATATATATATACATATATATATTTTATATAGATAGATATAGATATATAGATATAGATATAGCCACATTGGCTTCTCCACTACAGGCTTATCAGAATACCCAAAATAAAAACAGTGGTAACACCAGAAGTCGGTGAGGAGGCAGAGGAAGTGCATCTCCTACACTGCTGGTGGGCACATGAAACAGAACCGTCACTCTGGAAGCAGCCTGGCAGTTTCTGCACTTATCATGTAGCCCAGAAATAACACACTGCAATCCTTCTCCCATATATATGACATATGAAAACTTCATACACAAGAATCTGCTCACGAATGTTCACAGCAGCTTTCTTAATACATAACCAAAAACTGGAGACACCCAAATATTCTTCAGTGGGTGAGTGGGTGCACAAACTGGTACATCACTGACCCACCACACGGTACTAAAAAGGAATACACTGCTGATATATGCAACAGCCTAAATGGATCCCAAGAGCATTAAATCTCAAGAAGGTTCCAGGCTATCTGATTCTACTCATGTAACATTCTAGAAAGGACAACGATAGAGACAGAGGACAGGGTAGTGGGTGCCAGGGATGGGGACAAGGTGGGCAGCGTGAAGGGCTTCCTTGGTGAGGAGGGGATGGAACCGCTATGCTTCACACATGTGCTGATGGCTACGCAGATCTATACGTGGGATGACACTGCACAGGACCACGTACACGACATACACAAATGCAAGGTTAAAAACCTGAATACTGAGTTGGAAGCTGAACACTGAATAGGGCTTGTAGACTGTAGACTGGTCAGCACCAAGATGCCAGCTCGTTCCCTGGTTTTGATACTGTGCCACAGCTGTGTAAGATGTGAACGCCAGGGAAAGCTGGGTGAAGGGTGCGGGAGACTTTTGTAATTTTTTTAACTTCCTACAATTATTTCACAATGATAAGAATTTTAAATGAATAAAGACAGATTATTTAATAAATTACACGTTGTCTACGCACACATAAAGGTACAAATAAAATAAGACCTCTGACACTGCACAGGGAAATCCTAGAGGACATAGGACCTCAGCACTTAGAAGAAGAAATAAGAGGTTTTTATTATACCAGTTTAAAGAACAATACCGTAAGATGTTTTAAAAAGCACACACCATAAAGGAAAACTTGGGTAATTTGATCTTACTCATATTTAAAATCCTGTATAACAAAAGACACAAAGAAACCAAGTTAAGAGACAAGCTAAGTTCTCCTGGAAGGAGAAGCTGGACACAGTGACAGAGAGGCTGTCCCCCGGGGCCTCGGAGGGCAAGCAGCCTGCAGACACCCTGACTTCGGCCCAGGGAGACCCGAGCGAGAACCCTGACCGGCAGAGCTGTCGTAATTCACGTGTGCTGTTTCAAGGCATGGAGCTGGTGGCAGTGTGCCGCTGCAGCAGCGGGAAGCGACTTACCTCTGTTGACTTCCACGCACTAATCACAAGTGGCAGAGAATCCCGGGACAACGCCGTCCCAGCAGGCAGCTGAGTGTCTTGGCACTGCTCTTGTTTCAGCCCTGCCTTGGAAGCGTTTTCTGTCAACAACATAAAGCTAAGATTTTACTTTGGCAGAAGACAGGGATGTTTTTACAGCAGTTCACAATCTGAAGATTCACTTTGCCTCCCTAATCGACATCGTCTGCCAATGGTTACCTATGAGTATTAATCACTTTAATATAACTCTTTATAAGACGCGACAAGTACAGACCGACTTACAAAACACAACTGAGAAACTGTAGCCCCTTCTTACTTCCACAACTCTGTTCAGTTTTGTTATCTGAAATATCTTGTTTAAAAATAAAAGTACAGGGGCTGGCGCTGTGGCCTAGCAGGCTAAGCCTCTGGCTGTGGCACCTGCATTCCATATGGACGCCGGTTCTGTCCCAGCTGCTCCTCTTCCCATCCAGCTCTCTGCCATGGCCTGGGAAAGCAGTAGCAGATGGCCCAAGTGCTTGGGCCCCTGCACCCACTTGGAGACCTGAAAGAAGCTCCTGGCTCCTGGTTTCGGATTGGCCCAGCTCCGGCCATTGCGGCTATCTGGGGAGTGAACCAGTGGATGGAAGAACTTTCTGTCTCTCCCTCCCTCTGTCTATAACTCTACCTCTCAAGTAAATAAAGAAAAATAAAAAATAAAATATAATAAAGAGATTGAAAATATAAAAATTATTCAACTGAAATTTTAGCAAAGAAGGCAACCATAATTAATCTAATTAATATTTAAAGGAGGGGTTTGCGCTGTGGCATAGCAGGTAAAGCCTCCGCCTGCAGTGCTGGCAAACCATATGGGTGCCAGTTTGAGTCCCAGCTGCTCCACTTCTGATCCAGTTCCTTGCTAATGCACATGGGAAAGCAGTGGAAGATGGTCCGAGTGCTTGGGTCCCTGCACCCACGTGGGAGACCAAGAAGAAGCTCCTGGCTCCTGGCTTCGAATCAGCTCAGTTCTGCCCGTAGTGGCCATTTGGGGAGTGAACCAGTGAATGGAAGGTCTCTGTCTCTCTTTCTGTAGTTCTGCCTTTAAAATAAATAAATAAATCTTTAAAAAATTTTTAAAGAATTTTACTGGTACTGGCTTATGGCATAGTGGGTAAACCATTGCCTGAGATGCCAGCATTCCAAACGGGTTCCACTTCCAATCCAGCTCCCTGCCATTGTGGCTGGGAAAGCAGCAGAAGATGGCCCAAGTGTTTGGGTCCCTACCACCCACGTGGGAGACCCAGAATAAGCTCTGGGCTCCTGACTTTGGCCTGGCACAGGCCTGGCTGTTGCAGTCATTTAGGGAGTGAACCAGTGGATGGATGGAAGATTTCTCTCCCTCTCTGTATCTTTTCCTCTCTCTAACTCTGCCTTTCAAATAAATAAACAATAAATTTTAAATTTATTACACAGTTTGAATTTCATCTGTTCCAAAAGAAACCGATCAGAAATATATACATTTGATAAAACTTTTACTAGTTAAAAATTCTTAATTTAAAAATAAAAGGAAAAATTCACCAATGAAAATAAACTTCTATTTTTGTTTATAGATTTTTGCTAATGTTTTTATTATCTTAATATCCTTTTCTTTCCTAAGTTAATTATTAGGTATTCATACAAACTCTAAAAAGTCAAACTCTAAAAGTACCAGTACTTTTCAATTACAGTGTTCTATAAGAACTGTAAGAAAGCTACCCTCAAACTAGTGTATGCACATTATTTGAGGGCACAGAAAGACTTCTCAAAAGCTAGCGAGGCGCAGAGAGTTCCACGGGAATCACCTCTGAGATCCACAACTTTCACATCTTTCCAACAGCTCACCCGCCTGGCAAGGCTAGTTCTCCCCCTTCCTTCTCATAATCAAACATTCCCCACCCATTCTATGAGGGCGCCAAACAAGAGTAAATGGAACTGACAGGGGAAGGCCCTGTTAACTAAGGCACAAGGCAGACAAAGGGGCGTCGAGGCCTGTTCGGTTCTGTTTATATTTCTCCAATGGCAAGCACAGCAAACACGAGGGTGTTTTGGTCCACACTAGGATGCCTGTATTCAGAGACTGAGCTCACAGAACGGGGCAGCAGGACAGAGGGCGAGCTTCCCCACTGCTGTCACACAGCGCCTCACTCCAAGGAGGAGCTCCCGGCAGCGGCAGAGCAGGGAGGCACAGGCCTTCTGTCATCACGTCATCAACCAACCAGTGCCAACGGGGACAGAGAGGAGTGTGGCGACAACGGTGGCTGTTGTCTACACAGCCATCAGATTTAATAAAGTAACATGTTTCCTGGTAAAACTGCAGATCCCATTTAGCCAACTAGGTTATATGGTAAATATTTTCAAAAAACAAATAAATCAAATCCACAGTTTTTTGAAGAACTTATAAAACATATTCAAAACATATGATACAATAAAATTATCTGTCAAAAATTATTGTTTGAACAGGGATATTCTGCGATTAACATTTTAATCTTTCTCACACTTCTGAATATACTGGGTTAAAGTATAACAGCTTTACTTAACAGTTACTTGATACATTTTGGTACATAATTTTTGGTATCATTCCCAGAAATTGAGAGAGTAAATTACTCCTAATGATTATTTAACAAATCATTTTCTAAGCAGGTTGTTTCCAATTCTTTGCATTTAACAACACTTTAGAAAAATCTAATTAACAACCAAAAAGAGATGAAAAATATTTTTATAATAAATCACTGGGTAATTTTTGGCATATTACTTGGAAAGAATTCATAGAATTGATTGACATTGCTATAATAGAACTCCCTCTAGTTCTGCCTACAATTTATGTGAACAGACTTTCTCAACATTTGCATCTGTAAAAATGTAAAACAGAAACAGAATTTATGCTGAATCCTGCTTGTATCTAACAATAAGTAATATTGTATCTAATAATAAGCAATACATGTGGGTAAATGAACAGTCCATGTATCTCATAAAAGCATGTTTTTCCAACAGTTTTACATTTGGTAAGTTTTTAAAGAATTTATAATATATTTATGTGGCTTGAATGGTGGTATAATAACAGTAATTGTAGTGAGATGTCAACCTAGAAAGAATATTTAACCACTTCAAATCTTTGGTTACAGAAAATCTTGAAAAATAATTCCAATTGATATACATGTTTGATGTAGAGAAGGCTTCCAAACATAAAGATATTTTATATTAGGATAAAATCCTGTGAAGAAAATGCAATCAGAATAAGAATCTAAGGAAAAAAGGGAACCATAAAAAAGTCCCATCAGTTAAAGAAAACAAAAATGACTATAAGGATCAATCACAATAGAATGTAGATTCCTTTAGATACTTTTTTTCATTACTCATTATTTTAAAATTTTTTTATTTATAAAAATGGAACAAATTTCAGATATTTCAGATATTTCACATATGCAGTTTTAAGAGCCTAATCCTTTTCTTATTTTTCTTTTAATTTTTATAATGATATACTTTCAATTTTCTTTATAATTATAAGTGTAACCCTCCACTAAATAAAGAATCCAACAAGTAGTAAGTAGAAAAAAAATCACTGTTCCTCAAGAGTTTAGACAAAGGCTATAAAAATAATCGAATCTCAAAATGTCAATTTCGCTCATATACATTACTTTTTTTGTACTCTCTATATTAAGACTGATATAACAATTTTCTTTTCTTTTGTCTCTAATGTCAATATTTACAACATGTCAGGATTATTTCCTTTATAGTTATTTATAATTACAACACTATTCATGTCAACTTAAAAATGTAAGAGTAGGGACAGGCTTTGTGGTGTAGGAGGTTAACCCACTGCCTGCAATGCCAGCATCCCATTCAGGCGCTGGTTTGAGTCCTGGTGGCTCCACCTCCGATCTAGCTCCCTGATAGTGTGCCTGGGAAAAGCAGCAGAGGAGGGTACAAGTACTGGGGACCCTGTACCCATGTGGGAGACCCAAAGAAGCTCCTGGCTCTTGACTTCAGCCTCTCCCTCTCCCCCTCTCCCCCTCTCTCTCCCTCTCCCCCTTTCCCTCTCCCTTTGGGGATTACACATGAAAAACATCTTGAAAATTGATAGTACAAGACACAGTCCTTGCCTTCAAGGGCCCAGGGACTTCAGTCTAACATACAGACTTCTAGGAAACAGAACAATTGTAAGCCAAATGTTCTTGATAACTAAACTGCAGGAGTAGACACTCTAAGGAGGGGGAAAATAATGTGCATCAGAGTAATCAGAAAGAACCTCAAACAGAGAGTAAACTTTGAACAAGGCTTTGAAGGTTTCCTGGGATTCCAATCAACTCAGAGGAAGGGAGAAAGGACTGTGCAGTCCGGCAGGTGCCAGGGGTTCTGATGCAATAACCACGTTCCATTTACAGCCATGGCTTTTCATTTTGTTGTAACTCCATATGAAAATGAGTAATTAAAATGATCTCATTTTGAACCTGGAGACTATAATTAATACTGGCAAACAGTGGTGACTTGGGGCTTAGATCATCCACTTTCACTGGATTTAATCAGGAACTATATTACCACTCTCCCAGCATCCAGCAACAAAATTATCTTTGAAAATGATAGGGACTTGAGTTTTAGACATCACAGAAATAAGTTAATAAAAAAATCTCAGAAAGTCAATTTTGAAGTAAATTGTGAGAGAAATAGAATAGGAAGAACTGGAAAGGAAAAATAACATATATTTGGAGATGCATTTTGAGCTAGAATAACTGAAATGCTATAAGTCTACCTTATGGTGAAAGAAGGCAGTTGGAATCTGTGATGGAAATTCATTTTTTTATTAGTATCAACAAAACGCTGGAAGTGAGGTTGCTTAATTAGATTAGGTATTAGACTGGGCGGCATTTATTTCTTCTCCTTCATGGAAATGCAGTCCCTTTGATATCATAAGCTGTTTATCAACTCAGACTCAAGTCACAAGCGGAGGAAGACCAGCATGTGAATGAGAAACCTCAGGAAACAGTGGAGATGCCGCCGGAGCAGCCAGTGACTCATGCCGAGATAATGCTTAGCTCTCAAGGCCGTGTGGCTTCGGAGAGATTATCTGACAGGAGCTCTAGATCTT